AATCAATATAATTTTCTCTCTCAGTGTTTTAATAAACTTTACCTATTCCATCAGGGTTCTATCATTGTGGGGGGAGATCTTAATCTTATTATGGATGAACATATGGATAAATCTTCAGGTAAATGGGTTAATTGCAATTCGCAAACCCCACTTAGGAATCTATTCGATACAGTTGGTTTGATTGACATCTGGAGAATGCAACATCCACATGTCAAGAATTACACCTTCTACTCCCATAAATATAATATGCATTCTAGATTAGATTATATTTTGATTTCGCAAGATCTTCTACAAGTTTGTGTTTCTTCTGAAATAGGTAGTCAAATCTGGTCTGATCATGCACCAGTACGTTGCTTGTTGCAGATTTTAAATAATAAGCAAAAGTCACACTTCTGGAAACTAAACAAAACTAAACAAAATGACAAAAGGGCAAAATCAGAGTTACAAGATCAAATCCGGGAATACTTTCAATTAAATGACCAAAATAACATCTCCAAAAGAATCTTGTGGGAAGCTTCTAAAGCCGTAGTCAGGGGTAAATGTATTGCTCTCCTTGCCTTCTGTAAAAAAGAAAAAAGGAAAGTCAGATTAGAACTTACACAAAAATTTTTAGAACTAGAACAAAAGCACAAACTTACCTGTAGTAGGAAAATCTTTAAACTTCTGCAGGACGCTAGAAAACAGTTAGAGGCTCTGGATGCTCTAAGCATCAAAAAATCGGAATTCCATTTTCGTCAATCTAACACCATACAATCTCCTAGAAAACTAAGGTATCTAACTTGGAGACTTAAGAAGCAACGCGAAAATCACTTCATTCATGCCCTTAGAGATTCGTCAGGGAAAATTTGCTCTGACTCTAAAGACATCATTAAAATTCTAGAATCATTTTATAGGTCTCTCTATGCCTCTAAGGGTTCCGACCTTCATAGCATTCAAAAATTTCTAGACTCCATTTCGCAATTGTAAAAATTGACATCTGATCACCAAGAAGCTTTGGAAAGGCCTATAGGGATTGCGGAAATGGAGCGTGCCACAAAATCTCTCAAACAGAACAAGTCACCAGGGCCAGACGGCTTTACGTCTGAATACTATAAAGTGTTTGCTCAGTTGCTCAGTAAACCGCTCACTGACACTTGCAATGAAATCCTGGCTTTAGGTCAACTTTCGGAGTCTTGGAAAAAAGCCAACATAATTTTAATACCCAAAAAAGAAAAAGATCTATCGGATCCGAAATCATACAGGCCCATTTCCCTTCTTAATATCGATTATAAATTATTCACATCAATTTTGACGGCACGCCTCAAACAACTTATAACCTTTTATATTCACAAAGTTCAAACGGGTTTTATGCCTGAAAGGGACATCTCGGATAATATCAGGAAAACCTTAAATCTCATCCATTACGGTAGACGCTCCAAACATTCCAACTCTTTAATTCTAACGATCGA